TAAAATATCCTTGTTCGTGATAAAGTTTTAATACTTATTACTACAATCTAGACATGTTAATCCTTAAATATACTTGTATATTTAAGGATTGTGTCACAAATATATTATATATACTTGTGGCCCAAAACTCCATGACTTCTTCCAATGTGGCCCAGAAGAACAAAAAGGTTTGACACCCCTGATTTAAATAGTAAAAATACATTAACTTTTAAACAATAACACCACTGAAGTTAAAGTTAGTGTCTTTTTTTACTGTTATAGATATTCAGTTTGGAAGAGTTGTTATAACATTTATTGTCCATTAATAACACATTGTCTTTAAATTATTACACTTATAGTTGAGATTTCCAAAATTGAATTAGATATTTCCATTTCACTTGTGAATTATAGGGAACATCCTGGAAAATGAAGTAACTTTTACTATCTGTCAGTCTTCCTTGTCTTTTCATCTTACAAAAATTTTTCTGTATTAAGTTTCATAAATACACATTAGACAAGGTAACACAATGTACTTTTTCTCTTCTTATATATCTAACAAATCAGGCTTTTTATTAAAGGTTAAAAATATAGAAATATTTTTAACATTTAATGGGGAAAGACTCCATTAAATTAGTAAGATATTCTATAATATGTAATCTTTTGGGAATAAAATGATTGAAAATCATAACTATGAGAACTGCAATGTCAATAATCTTATCTAGATGGTCTGACAAAAATAAAAAAAATAGCCACTTCTACCTGACAGTCTCTAAATGACTTTTTTATGACTTCTAATATTGCTTCTCAGATGTTTTCTTCCTCTAGATTACTTTGCATACAATTGCAAATAGTGCTGTTTTAGGCTGTGTACACATTAGGCGTTTTTAAACATGCGTTTTAAAGAATTATGAGTTCTGCATAGGCATACATACTCATACGTGCGTTGATAGATTTTTGTTAAAACACGTGTTTTATGGGCGCTTTAAGATATATGTGCTACCATGTTGTTGTACATTCGATCGCATGCTTTCGGGTAGAGTGGACGTACGTTGGCCAAAATGGAGAACGATCATTTTGATACTGATCTATTTATTGATGAAATCTAAAAGAGACCAGCCATTGTCAAATGATTTCATAGATATTCTAAAAGAATTAAAAAATTTGGGTTCATATTGTCTTAATTTTGGATACCACGTCGCAAACATTCCATGCGTCAGTCTATCTTGTAATATTGGGTGCACCCAAAATTCTATTTGCCTCTGCCATCGTCTTTTATAGTGACGATGGAGGAGACACACACAAGCAATTACTTTCACGTCCATTTTCAAACTGAGCCAGTGCTCATGCCCGACTAAACGGTCGTTGAATGCTGAGCTAATGCGTGGTGTGTACGCTGCTAACACGCGTTTAACGCAACGCAAAACACCTAATGTGTACATAGCCGTAGAATAGTGAAACAAATACTACATCAACACTAATTTTAAATTTCAAAATCATTTGAAAAGTTGAAATCTTAATTCCCAAGATTCTTCTTTGTCTACTGGAGAAAAACAAATGTCATAATTTCTGTTGGTTTACTTAGTAATTTGCATCTTCATTTAATAGAATTTTTTGGAGTAGAAGAAATATCTTTTAGGGGTGGAGGTTCTAGTTGTCACAGTTATTACAAATTACCAGAAGAATAAAAGCGTTAGAATATAAATAATATAATTTCAAAAAGATTATGTGAAATCCGCGATTTTTACGCCAATGTCGGAAAAATCTTTGTAAACAACTCCGAGGAAAAAAAAAACACTCTTGGTGAGAAGTATATCGGAGGCCACCGATTGTTTTCACATTAAGGTGGGAAAGTTGACACTTAGTTGATCAGAATGCACCGTAATTGTCAACAGAAGTTGACCACGTGATTCACTTCCCACGAATAACGTATAAAAGCTCGAGTCCCCGGAAGCTCAGGGCGATCTCTCGGAAGTTATACTTGGTAGATGTGCCATATTTGTCTCCATACGCCGGACTGAAAGGACATACGACCAACCACAGCCATTTGAACTTCCATCGCCATTAATGAATATATTCAACGAATGCATATTAGACATATCTGCTTAGAGGTATTTGTACTTTTTAGAGATTTGTGAACTCTCTCTCAGACTAGCAGGTAAAGCTATTAGAGCGTTCCTTTTGTATAGTGAACTCATTTAATCGCATTTAACTTATGTATCCTAGCTTAGGTTTAAAAACTAAACAAGCATTTATTTATATAACTGTCTCCTGTCTCTGAAGGACACCTGCCGACTTACCGACGCACTCCCCACTCAATTTTTTTTGCCATCCGACAAGCCGAGAACGGGTTTTACCAACCTGTTGCAGAGTAAGTGGTCATTTGGGATGAGCCCAGTGGCCCACTGCTAATCTCACAATTACAAGCAGGAAAAAATTATCACTTATCTACACAAAACCTTATGCAGCATCAAAAAAATGGTCATTAAAACTGAAAAATGATAGAGTACAACTACCCCTTAGTAGCATCTTTAAGGAAATCTGGAGAGCTGTAGGCAGGAGAATGTTATTCAAGAGGATCCACAGTTTATAAACTTCTGTGGAGTGACAAAGATCCAAGGAATCTTTTGAGAATTTGGGTTTTCTACATATATCTATCATAGATCTGTGATAGGTATATGCGATTTGGTATATGTGGGAACCATCATGCAATTCTTAACTTCATGGTTAAAGGAACATAAGTATTCTTTTAAGTAGGCACTTCTACAGCCCTGGCTGTTAGGGGGAAATTCCTTTACCTGTGACCTATATACTTCTTCACTATGGCACTTGGTTGGCACTGTAAGTAATCAAAAATGATTATATCTAAGTTTAAATACATCTGGAAAAGAAGGCTTGCTCAGGGTCCGGATGGCATTACTGGCAAATGCACCGCATGATAAGTGGAGGTTGTGGGTTTAAATCCTGCTCCAGACTAGTTCTTTTCGTCCAAGATGTTCTAAATTATTTATTAAATTATTATAATTATTAATTTAGATAAGTGATGGCATCTAATGTCTACCTTTAGCACCAAATTACTTAGTTATTAATATGCTAATTATTAAATATAGCATAGTAATAGCCCAGTTAATTACGGTGATTGGGTTTGGCTTTGTATCAATATATCAGGTTTTGGGAAGTTGATATTTGTATATATGTTAGGTTCAAACATCAAAAATGCTTAATCAGCAGAAAAAAATGATTATAATGCACAAATTTTGCATCTTGGCTGTTTATGAAGAGTCATTATGCATTCTTGCATTTTTTAAAAATGATAAAATGTGTTGTGGCTTTTCATAAGCAGCCAGGATGCAAAATTCTTGTGATTGTTTCTGTGAAGTCACAACACATTCTGGTTGGTCTTATTTTTTCTGTTCATTTAGCATTTTCGATTTTTGAGCATAACATATACATGCTCATGTACATACAAAAATTATAATATTTTTTGTTTCAATGAAAGAATTTTGGTAAATTTTAAATATCTATTTATTTGATTTTATACATATTATGTCTTACTATTATGAAAAAGAACAAGTCCATGACTCTTAACAATTGCGCTTCTTTTACATAAGATATTGGCCAGACAAAGTACCAGGGCTGTGTTCAGTAACGGAACACTTAAGTTAGAATTCTGAGTGGCTTAGTGGAGGGAGCTAAGAATGTTCTGAGCATCATTGAATGATTATTCTTAGTTAGACAACTGGACAAAATGGTGGACGAATTTAAAATTATGATTGCAACAATTTTCGCAAACAAACTGGTCGAAAGGGATTAAGTAACCAATACAATTATTCAAATGGAAGCTCTATCAGATCATGATGAAAGTAATGAAGCAATTATTAATTGTAATCATGAAAATGGATTGCTATCTTCTGTTAAAATGTATTTGGAATCTGTTATACTGACATGATAATTTTACATTTCGAAGTCATTTTAGGATGACTTAATGATTTAGAATGAAAGAATAACTTGGTGATTGTTATAATAAAATACGCTTAGTCCAACACGAGAAGTCATCTTGCAAATTGTACAACCAGACAAAAACAATGACATCACTAGTAGAAGTAAGCATAGATAAAAGAAGCTGACTGAACTAGCTAGAATTCTAGCTGTGGGAGGAGTTGAGCAGTAGTTAGAAACGAGTTCAACATTGCAACATAACTAGACTTAGCAAGAATTTTGCGTTACTGAACACGACCCAGGGTTCCTTTGTTAACCATTTTATGTCCCCATACCCCAAGGCGCTATTGTTGCCAATACATAACAATACATAATATATAATTATCAATTACTTGTGGAATTTTTAATAAATATGTATTTTTAACAGAAGAATAATCAAAATGGCTATAGAAGTACTTGATGTTGATCATCTTGGTGTTAGTGCCATTGTGACAGTGGCCATGCAGCTCTTGTTCTTCATACTAGCATCAGCTTTTCAGTTTGATAAATTGGCTGATTTTGCAGGAGGAACTAATTTCATTATCGTTGCTTTATTGACTCTCTTTCTTGGAGAGGTAAGTTAAATATCATTTAATATTAAGAACTCCTAAAAATCTGCAAGAATATGTTTTATTACTAAAATTATTAAAGTTTTGTAGTTAAGATAAAGTAGGTTGCTTTTGATGATATCAAGTTAACATATTAAATTATTAATAGAATTAAAATTACATTTTTGAAATAAAGAGGTTTTAATATTAAGATTAATTATAATTAATAAAAATTGTATTAATTTTAAATAGACATATGACATGCGACAATGTTTAGTCACTGCATTCGTGTGTGTATGGGGTGCAAGGCTGTCTGGATTTTTAATGTATCGAGTAATGAAAGTCGGAAGAGATCAGGGTTTCGAAGATAAGCGTCATAATATTATAAGATACTTAATATTTTGGACTTTCCAAGTAAGTAATATGCATATATGAAAATTATCATTTGATTCATATATATGAAAATCAGTTTGTTATTTATATAAACATTAAAATCTTGTAGATCCTAAATTATTAACTTCAAATTTATAATTTTTAGATCTATACACTGTTTTTTTAAAATCAGTTCCAATATTATAAGAAAAATTATATTCCTTAACACTAAATAAATGTAATAAAATATTTTGAGAATTTCGTTATTCAAAAAAATAATCTTTGTGATGAATGAAAGATATAAGGTTAAAAAGGAATGAATTAGAATCAAATTGTTATTTAAAAAAAGAAAAACACTATTAATTACTTGGTGTTGAAAATGAAATATTGTTTTATGCATTTGGAACCAAAACTGTATTTGTGAAATGAAAATGTTGTTCTGATTTTTAATATTATCTTATTTATAAACAGATGAAGACACTGTTAGAATCTTTTGTAAGTATAAAAATATATTAAAAATTTGAGAAAAATTAGACAATATAATTGAACTTCTACAGTTGAGATTGTGAATAAAATGTGTGATACTAATGTTAAATTTCATATATTACTAAAAATTTGTCTGTTAAATTATTACTAATTGTCATCATTATTGAAATTGTCCAAATGAGTACAAAAACTGCCATACATCATTTGTTTTGTTCACATTTTTTATATGCATTAAACAAATTAACTCTCAGATTAAATCAAAATTAGAAATAATAATTTAGATAAAAAAATTTAATTATTATCTGTAATCAGTCTGTTTTACCAAAAATTTCTGTTATCAGTAAATTAATCTTTATATTCAAAATTATTAATAAGTTTTTTTTGAGATTTTTTTTTCTTTGATGTAAACATTTAAACAAAGCAGTTTTTTTACAGGGTGTTTGGGTGTATCTTGTTAGTTTGCCAGTTATATATATAAATTCACCTAGAAAAGCTGTTCCAAATTCACCGCTTCCAATGACAACATTGGATTATGTTGGTTCCTCAATGTTTGTATTTGGCTTATTATGTGAAACCTTAGCTGATATTCAGAAATTTCGCTTTAAAGGTGATCCTGCAAACAAAGAACGGTGGTGTGATTATGGTGAGTACAAATTCTCAATATTGAAAAATTTATTAGATAAAATTTATATTTTAATAATATATATTTGATATTTTATTTAGGTTTGTGGAAGTTTTCTCGACATCCAAATTATTTTGGAGAGATAATTTTGTGGTGGGGCATTTTCCTTGTAGCAATAAACGTTATTAAAGGACCAGAATGGCTTTCCATTATTAGTCCATTATTTACGACGGGTATTATTTTATTTCTAAGTGGAATACCTTTATTAGAGAAAGGTGCAGACGATCGTTACAGAGGGTAAGACTACTATTTTTAAATTTATAAATGTTTGTATTATCTTGATAAGCAGGTATTATGTGGAACATATAAAGAAAGCATATAAATAAGCATTCACACACATTTATAATAAGTTCTGCTACAACACATTGGACATTTTTCTGAAGTTTATTAAAAATGAAAGTTGATAGTTACTAATATTAACTAAACTTAAATAATATTGTATGTTTTTATCAGTTATATTGATGAAATGGTTTTATTATATTATTACTAATGTAACAATTTAATACATTTTGCAGCTGAAAGAAGTAAACATTATAAAAATAAAAGCAAAGTGTAATTTATTATTAAGAATAATAAAATTCACATAAACAAACAAGACTTTATCAGTATTAAACTTTATGAAAACTTTAATTTTTTCAAGAGCTTAATTTAAATTCTATAATGATTTTTATTTGCTAAGAATGTTCTGAGCATCATTGAATGATTATTCTTAGTTAGACAACTGGGCAAAATGGTGGACGAATTTAAAATTATGATTGCAACAATTTTCGCAAACAAACTGGTCGAAAGGGATTAAGTAACCAATACAATTATTCAAATGGAAGCTCTATCAGATCATGATGAAAGTAATGAAGCAATTATTAATTGTAATCATGAAAATGGATTGCTATCTTCTGTTAAAATGTATTTGGAATCTGTTATACTGACATGATAATTTTACATTTCGAAGTCATTTTAGGATGACTTAATGATTTAGAATGAAAGAATAACTTGGTGATTGTTATAATAAAATACGCTTAGTCCAACACGAGAAGTCATCTTGCAAATCGTACAACCAGACAAAAACAATGACATCACTAGTAGAAGTAAGCATAGATAANCCTTTATATATACAGTAGATCCCCCTATAAAAGCGTTTCCTATAGTTATGATTCCTATAAAAATTGTGGCATTATCCGTAAACAACGGTAAAAATAACTCCTATAATACGTAAAACGTCATCGGGCAGCCGAACTACTTACCCGCCGTCCGTAGTGCCACGCTACGGAGAGATTTCTATCGTCTTATCACAATTACAAATGTTCAACAAGTCCACTGATACCATTACCTCCATCCTTATATGGCCTTTTCCCAGGTTTCTTCAAATGTGTCCTCTGTTGTGAATTTCCTCTGTATGATTTTCTTGACTTCCAGCCAGGCGATATTGGTACTCCATTAGAAACACCAACATAATTGACAGATATTTATACATAAGTATAAGAAAATAATTCATTTTAAATATAGAAATTAAGTGAAGGCATTTTCATTACAGGTGTAATTGTAAAAAGGCATTAAGATTATTTAGATACATTTCATTTTTATTAATATAATAAGATTTAATGTAAGTCATGACAATCAATAATCTATTGTAAATTACTACATTTTGAAACTTGTATATAGCAATGTATTATTATGTATATATTGATAACCTATATAATTTATTGTAACTTTATTTTAACATGCATTATTAAATAATGCTATTAAGTGATTAAATATAAGTACATTTTAAATTAGTAAATAATTTAAAAACTGTAATATTTATAATCTAATTTACAATCATTTTTTTTACTTTTAAGAGCTGTTTAAGCTATTAACATGTTTACTTCCAGTGATTCCTTGAAGTGGTCTATATTGTAACATTTCATTGCCGACCTCACTCATGAGTATTGTAAAAATTTGTTACTTCTTTCTTGGAAAATTTTATTTGTTGTCTTTAAGAAAAAATTTTTTTATTGTTTTTATTGTATACTTCTAAGAATGTATTATTATATAATATTTTATATAATTTTTGACATTTTTAACATACATAGATTAAGTAAACAATGGTTAGGAACATATCCCTAGAGGGGCAGTGAACATGTTAAATATTCCTGCATATTATACAAATATATTTTATTTTGGAAATTTCTATACTTTTTGAGCAAATATAAGCAAATAGAAACTAGTTAGTTTATTATAGTAATTTGTGATTATAGATATGTAGTAAATACAAAGCTATCATTATACGTATTATAATTAATAAATCTAAGATTTAAATATTTAGAGCTTTGCAATTCTTCTGTGTTTATATAAAAATACTTTTTCTTAACTTACATTATTTTAAATATGATATTAACCAACTAATTAAATTACTTCTAACGTAAATTTGTATCTAAATATAATTTCTTTCATCTGTTAAAAGCTAAACGTTAGAAAAATTTATTCATGATATTCAGAAAAGATCATAATGTAGATATATTCATTTTTATTAAGTATTAAACAGATTATTATTTATTGTCGTAAATAGTTTTAGTAATTTAAGATGAAATGATTTATCTAAAAATATAAAATTGTATGGAATTGTAAATTTTATTAAATATGCAAAACTAATATCAAAACTGTATGCATATATATAAAAATAGTTTAAGATAGTGTAAGTGAACATATTAACTTATATTTGGATATAACTTTACACTTAAAGTATATTTATTTATATTTTTTTAATTTATTGTTTATTAAATCCTTATTTCTATTTGTGAGAAAACCTTGTTGCAAAAATATTGATGCACTATAAAGCTGATATGCAACTATCTTCAAATTCTATACATGGATATTGCTGAAAAAATAAAAATTTCGTTACGATATTACATCATTAAAATAGTTTCATCACAAATGTTACAAATCAGAAAATAACAAAAACTCAGTCTGGCAATTGATGCAAACTGATCAATGTCTGAGATGACTTTACAATTTATTAATATATAACATTTCTGATGAAACTGCTCTTCAGTGTAACCTTATGCTGTGATAGTGAAAAAACAAAATTTATTACAGTATCATTCCACTTACAGAATTTGACTATTGCAAACTACATTTAAGGTGCATCAGTTTTTTGCATCAGCATTTATAATAAAAAATATACTTATTATGTAGATGTTATTTATATTTTTAATTTATATCAGACTATATATTTATTTTTTAAAATTAATTTTATTGGTGTTAGATCACATCTTAGTTCCATGTCATAATTTATTTGATATACATTGATTGCGTTTTTTTTTTTTTCGAATTAAGCACGTCTTTCATTTAAATTATTAGTAAATAGATATTCTAGTCAACATTTATTTTATTGTCTATATTACATAATGTACAGAATTAATAAAACCCATATTTAAAATGCATAAAAAATATCAGGACATTTGATTTGGATTTAATCTAAGCCATTTCTTTAAAAATATACATAATTCAATATGTGAATTTGAAATATAATCAGTTTTAAAGTATTTAATTGTGAAAAACTATTACTTGAACGATTCAAGTTAATATACTAATTATGCAATATACATAATTTATTAAAAGTAACTTTATATATTGAACTGATAAAATTTATGCTAATGACATAAATATATTTATTAAAAATAAACTGTATATTTATAAAAAAAAAAGAAAAATTTGTTCTCAAGGTTAATTCATATTGAGCATAAACTATTAATGGATTAAAAAATTATTGTAGAATGGTCTCATTGATGACAAAATGTAATTAATCACAATATTAATTATCTGAAACATTATTATTACTGATGCAAATATTTCATTCTTCAACAATTTGCATTCAATGTTAATCTTAGCAATTGCTAGAGAGAGAAGATAATTTGGAAATTAAGGGAATTCATTTCTAAATTTTATGGTTAAATATATTTCATTAAATTTCTCATTAAAACTTTTTTAGAACTAATACCAAAAAACCTTAAATCCAGTAAAAATGAAACATTTATTAATGGAACAAATGTTTATGACCATATAAAATGGCCATCATATCATTCTAGAATGGAATATAAAAGGAACATATCCCTAGAGGGGCAGTGAACATGTTAAATATTCCTGCATATTATACAAATATATTTTATTTTGGAAATTTCTATACTTTTTGAGCAAATATAAGCAAATAGAAACTAGTTAGTTTATTATAGTAATTTGTGATTATAGATATGTAGTAAATACAAAGCTATCATTATACGTATTATAATTAATAAATCTAAGATTTAAATATTTAGAGCTTTGCAATTCTTCTGTGTTTATATAAAAATACTTTTTCTTAANAACTTCAGTAAATATATCCAGTTTTTTTGGAGTTTCTTCACTAAAACTGTTAGCCTAGTATTTTATATTTATCCACCTTGCATAAAAATATCTATGATATCATTAAATTAATTGATAATTTACTTCCTAAAATACTTCAGCATTTTATACTGGTTAATGTAATTTAATAATTAGAATATAAATATTGGATTGGTAGCAAAAGAAGTTATTAGATATAATATTTGAAAGTTTTTATTTTTATAATTATTTTCAAACAAGGATGAAAATATTTCATTAAGCATTTATCTGTGCCAAATTTTATTATAAAAATTTCTCCAAAATAATATGCAATTAAAATTTTATGAAAAACTGATAATTATTCTCTTAATCTATGCTTTTAAATATATTTTGATATTTGATGAATATTTATTGATATATATGTATATAAAATATGATACACTTTTCAAAATTATCTTTATGAACACTGCTTAAATATTTCTTTCTATATAAGTTTAATGGTAAATTTACAAAAAGTCATATTTTATTCATGATGCAAATGAGGGTTTTATTATTAAAATAGTGAAATTTATTAATATTTTCTTTGTTTTTTCAAGTATTCTGTAAAAACTATTGATGCAATGTAAATAAGAAGTTTTATTTAATTAGAAAATATCGCTTCTAGCCCACAACATAAATTGAGTATAAATTGATTAGCCTAAAGAGTACAGCTATAATAAATTGAAGGGCCTATCATATCAGCCCTTCAATTTATTATAGCCATACTCATTAGGCTAATCAATTTATACTCAAGATTTTATTTCAAGTATGAATTAATTTTTTTTTTAGGTGTATATCATTGTAGAATTCTTATGATAAAATGTATATCTTATTATACATCATGAAGCATCTTATAATATTGAATGTAGCAAAACATTAATTTCATAGATTTCCATTTTTGTCTTAGGATAATTTGATATTTATTTTTAAAAACCTTTAAATTATGCTCAAATCAACATTTTTTTTTTGTAGTTTACATGATAATAGGGAACAACAGATTAAACAATTGGTTTATTATCCATATTCACAATCAAGGATCAAGAGCTAGAGTTATAAATTAATAATTATTCACATACATAATTAAAATGACCAGTAATTGGATAATTTCATTCTCTTAATCCTTGATTGGGAATGCTTCATATGTCACTACTATTCCATTAGCAGATAACTGACAAGCTCTGTAATGATTTGCTCCACACTATATACAGTAGAATCTCATTTTAATAGATCACTCAGGCTACTAAAAATCATCCGATGTTCTGAGAATCTATTATATCATGAACAGATTTCCCACACCCTCAGGATAATATCTGTTATTTAATCCCTACATATAACAAATACCTGTATGTGAAATTATTCAGTTTCTTGAGATTTCCATTCTTTATTGTATAGAAATACATATGGTATAATGTGCAATCTTGTAACATATGTGTGTATGACAATGCTGATAGAAACTGTATATTGTAAGCACAAAAAGAAGCAAATTGTGTATGCTCATTTCACATGACTTCATGAATTGTTAAAAAACTTGTCTAGCTTGGCTTGTTTTGATGATGCTTTCCTGCCAATTGAATACAACCACTCATCAATGTCAGGTACAGCCTGTTCTTTTATGCTGAAACTTGTGGGAAAGGTTTTCACAACTTGGAAAGACTCTGTGGTCTTGCTAAATTTTGGCACTACACTTGTACCAGTGTCAGGATGTCTACTAAGTGGTTCCTCCTTAATTGTATCAAGTTGCTGAATCTCTTTGTATGATTCTTCAATTTTACATATTCTAGATCTAATAAGTGCATCGTCACTATAAATTTCCAGAAATATCCAAGTATTAACTAAATGTTGTAAAAATGAAAAGTTTACAATAGATGGCAATAGAAAAAAGTCCATCATTTCTAGTTATGAATCTGCTAAAAGGAGTTAAAGTGATATTGATTTGGCAGGATCTGGGAAAAAATCCATTATTCTGAGAAATCCGTTGTTTCACGATCCGTTAAACCTAGATTCTACTGTATATTTTTTTTGTATGGAAATTTTAGTTTTCTTTTGCTTATAAGCTTTTTGTAAATCTGACTGTTTATTTTGGGTATTTTGTATAAAAATTCTCTCTAAAGTTGAATTCTTTATATATTTGTTTGAGAAATATAATTAATAGATATCAATTTTTTTATTTTTATATATATAAATTATTTTATTTTGTTTGCTAGTTTATCAGATTCAATTTGATTTAATTAATATAATAAAGGGTATGTCTGAGTAAGATTAATATGATATAGGATCCTTCTGATGGCGTGAAAATAAAAGTTTGTAAAAATTTTTCTGCTGCTTGGTTCAAGTTGTTTAAATTAAATTTTTTAAAAACAATTTTTAAGTTTCTTTTGTTTTCAGAAGAAAACCAATTTTAAAATGGAATGAAAGTTATTAAAGGCATTACTGTTTTATTGACTTTCTATGTGATTATAACTCAATAAGGAGATTTTTTTCTCAAGTTTAATTAATTAATTTTGCAATTGATTTTATAACAATTTTCTGCAGAAACATAATGCATAGTTTAAGATAAGGTGATAATGTAACTCTAATTACTGTATTTACTTGCATATAAGAAGATTAATTAATACAATTCTAATTTTATTTTGTTTAATCAGAAATAAAATATCAAATGCACGTAAATGCACACATTGTCCCGCAAAAATTACTGGCATTTTAAACGGCAAGGAAAAATCTTGTAAAATCAGCAACATAATTTGTTCATGTAAAGCTGGACAATCTGGAACCTTTTTTGCCAATTCTTAACAGTGGAATTTACTCTCTGTCGATTACACTTACAAGTTTCTCCGAATTCTGATTTCCAAATAATCATCTGTTTTCATGTGGGAATGAATTAAAACTTATGTTGGTTGGTTGGGTTTTATTAGCACAATAGCCATGCAGGCTTAAAACTTATATCAGACTCCCATATAACTTTGGAATTCAATTCAAAAGCTTTGCTCTTCCAATACACAAGAATGATTCAAACAACCCA